CCTCACCCCCAGCACCCCCAAGTCCTTATCTGCAGGGCTGCTTTCCAGCCCTTCATCCCCCAGACTGCTGATACCAAGAATTGCCCTGACCCAAGGTGCAGGACCCTGGCACTTGGCTTTGTTAAGCCTTACAGGGTTCACACGGGCCCACCTCTCAAGCCTGTGCAGGTCCCTCTGGATGGATCCTGTCCTTAGGCATGTCAACCACACCACTCAGCTCGGTGTCATCTGGCTGTCCTCACAGGAGTGGTGTTCCAGCTCTCAGATCATGTTTATGGCCTTCCTACAAGGGCAGCTTTGATCTCATCAGCTTTACATCAGTGTTCCTGTTGAACCAATAGACAATTTCTAGGTCTGTAATAAGAGGGAAATCAGTAACATGAAAAATAAGCTGCAGCAGATTTCAAAGTGCTCATTTAAAAGCTGAGCTCCTTACCCTTAGAGTGAAAACAGGACCCACTCTTAGGTTGCTCCAAGGGTGAAACAGTATCATTAGACCTGTGATGGTTCAGCACCACTCTGGCAGAGCACTCAGTGAAGGGTGTGAGCTTTCATTCACAAAAGCTGAAGAAACTGGCAGGGTTTTAAAACACTCACTGTTCTTGGAGAGGAAAATGCTGTCAGACCACACAGTTAAAGAAAATTGTTTCTTTTTGCTGAACATGCTCCAGTGCAGTTAATTTACAAATATAGCAGGACACTAATGGCACAGTACTGGACACGTACTGGGAGAGCTGGTGGAGGCTCATCCACCCTATTAAGCAGCTCTTGGTCTCAAGTAACAGGAAAGTAGACCTCAAGATCTTCAGACTTACTCTGATTTTCTTAATACTTTCCTGTGTTTTATCCTGACTCTTGTGACACAGCCTCTTGTTGGGCTTGCTGATATCAGAGGTATCAGCATATATTGCAGAGGCCATAATGGAACGTATGGCATTAGTCAGACTTCAGCATTGTCCTTAGCAACTCCCCTACCCATCAGGCTGTTGAGTGTTTCTAGCCAGCAGCCAGAGCTGCTCCAGCTCCGTGCTGTTCCCTTGCCAGAATTGACCACTGGAACAACGAGAAGGAGCGTCTCGTTCTCATCACGGATCGGTCCCTCCTGGTCTGCAAGTACAACTTCATCAGCCTGCAGTGCCAGCACGTGACCAGGATCTCCCTCAGCGCCGTCGACACCATCTCTGTAGGAGAGTTTGAGTTCCCACCTAAGTCTCTCAACAGGTACGTTCACGTGGTGCCACCACGGTGCCACTGGAACGGTGCTCCTGTCATCTGAGCAGTTGGGCTTTGTCACCAGCCACTGCACAGGCCTGAGGGTCCTTCCTTAGCTCCTGTCACTTCCCAAACCATTACTGCAGCTGCATTAGAAGACCTCAGAGTAGCTGCTGTTTTGCTGGGACGGGTACGAAGTTCATCACCATCCTATAGGGCAGTAAGTAGTGGCAGTAGGAGCAGCACCACCTCGGCATGACCAGTAATCCAGGTGTAATGTCCGGTCACAGGCTGGTGTCCTGCACGTCCAGCAAGCTCAACCCTTTTGCCCTCAGCTTGTACCATGGCAGATTGCAGGGGATGAGTTCTCTCTCCTAACATTAAATTTGTATTTCAGCTTTTGGTTTTAAGCAGGTCTTTTACAGACAGCACATTTCTAATCACACACGCCTCAGAGCCTCCCTGTATTAACTCTGCTGCCTTCGACACCAGGCGGGACGGGGCTGGGGTCCGAGTGCAGTGGGACAAGCAGAGCCGCACGTCCTTCATCAACAGGTGGAACCCCTGGTCCACAAACATCCCCTACGTCACCTTCACCGAGCACCCCATGGCCGATGCTGATGAGAAGGTCGCCTCCCTTTGCCTGGTAAGGATGTGCCCCCTCCTCTTCTGGGTGGCTTGTTGATCCCACAGGCTGGGCGTGACTGCGGTGGTTTGGAAAGATGGTGCAGTTAGATCAAATAGCAGCAGTTAAACCAGAGACGGGGCTGAGGCTGTAACCTGCATTTCCCCTGTCTCCAAATTTTGACCTGCAGCTGCCAGGTTTTGGTTCATACAAGAAGGAGGCTGAAACTTCCAGAGGTGCCGAGTCCAGTAAAACCCAGAAGAAAAAGGATGTTAGTGCTATTCCTGCTCCTGCTTACCTTACAGGCTGATGCCCGACTCTTCATCTAGGGCTGCCAGCTAATTAAACAAATGGTTTAATTGCTAACCGTAAACCTTCACTTAAGTGGTTCTCAGTTTTTCTTGCAATAGTTGCAAGAAATATAGAGCACGATAGTAATGTAAGTTCATCAGGGATACGGGCAGGAGAACTAGTCAGAGATAAACCACAGTCACAGGTAAATCCCTGCACAGCTACCCCGTGTTTAGGTTACATGTAGGTGGTGTCCTGCTGTGAAGTTAACAATCATTCAGGTCACATCTCAGAAGTTCATCGTGGCATGAGATCCACAACAGCTACAGCATTAGCACTGAGCCTTTACAACACCATCAGCAGCTGTTTGCCTAACAATTTTTAAACCTATCAAAAAACATCGTGGTGATTTTTCCCTTCCAGCTGGAAAACTTTAAAACGCAGCTCATCCAGGCTGTGAAGAAAGCCCACAAGGAGTGTCCCCTGCCGGGGCGGGCGAACGGCGTGCTGGTGCTGGAGCGTCCTCTTCTGATCGAGACCTACCTGGGACTGATGTCCTTCATCAACAACGAGGCCAAACTTGGCTACTCCATGACAAGAGGCAAAATCGGGTTTTAGGATTCATTGCATTTTAAAATTCATCGTATTTAATCTGTTCAAGGAGAAGTGGTTTGCTGCTCTCCTCCTGGGGAGAGCACGCTGCGTGGCAGAGCGCTCGATAATCAACGGGAGGTTCAGGGGAGGGAAGGGGGTGGCTGTAGCTCACGGGAGGCCCTTGTTCTGGTTGGGTCAGATTAATCTGAAGCAGACACAAGGCAATGTCATTCTTGGATTTTTCTATCTAATTTACAGTTCTTACACAGGGCTAGTGAGGAGAGGTATCTTCCATTCCTATGTCCTCCCCATGGAGTGCAGCTGGTACCCGCTGCAAACACCCGAGGTGCAGCAGGGTGTTCATGCCCCTGTGCAGTGTCACATCATGCTGTGAGCTTGGGATGGGGCTGTGGTGCTGAACGAGGTGTCAGTGTCCACAGCTATGGTGATGTTTGCATTTTGACTCGTGCTTGCTGAGAACTCTGAGAGCTGTGTCAGGCACCCAGCAGAACCCAGCCCGCCCACAGGGAGCTGCACGGTCACTCTGTGAGCAGTCCTTATGGCTCAATGTGCATTTGAGCTTTTCATAGAACACCTCCCCCTAAGAACCCAGCCCAGCTTCCTAGCTTATGTATGTTTTGCTGCAGCCATAGAATAGCCTTTTTGGAGAAAATATTGCCAAAAGCCTCACAATCGCATTTGCCTTTGAAGCTGTTATTTATAAAACTCAAAAGTTCTATTTTGATTAATTTATATTCTTAGCAGTTTTTCTTAAATCTACTCTGGGCTGGGAGAGCAGCAGTGCAGGACTCTTTAATGGAGACAGATAAAAATTTCACCACTGTATGTCAATCTTGATTTGTACCTCAGACAAACGTCCAGTAATGAAATTTGGGAGCAGCAGAGGCTACAACTGACACTGCTCACGAGGTTACTCTGACAAGCTTTGCCATTGTGTGACCTTCTGTATGTGCCATTTTATCTGTGCAACTGCAATGCTGAATAAATGCTGTGCTGCAGTGATGGGTTTTGGAGCTTCCATAGATGTATGTTCATGAATCTCCTGTAAAGCCAAGTCCTGGTGGAGTGCAGTGAGCTGCATGGCCCCCCAGTGCATTTCCTAAGATACTGATTTCATTTTCATTAATCTTGCAGTAAAGTTTAAATTTAACTCAGTTTGTTAATCTTGCAGTAAAGTTTGATTTAACTCCATTTGTTCTTTGTTCTTCATTTTGTGGAGACTGAGGCTTTGAAATTAAGTAGCAAAAGAAAAAAACATGGAGTAAATTCCTGAACAGTGGGCTCCCTCCCTCTGGAGGGTCTGGCTACTCAGGTTAAAGGGAAAGGATGGTCCAATGGGTCTTTCCTTGCTGAGCCACCCACTCCAATTTGGCACTAGATAGTTGGGTCAAAAGCCCCCAGTTCAGCTGGCTATAATACACCATTCTGAAGTACCAGTTCTCCTCCTCCTTGTAAAGATCTGGTGTAATTAATCTACAGCAGCACTCTGCACAGCTAATGTCACCTGCCAACATCTCAAGTCTGGAAAATCAAAATTATTACAGGTGACTTAATTTACTTTCTGAGCAAAGAACTCATTTTGCTTTAACAGGAATTGATTTGCTAGGAAGTGTCTTAGTGACATCTCTACTTCTGCTACAATAGTTAACTCTAATGGACCAGATAAATCTGTTGCCTCACAAGAGCAGACAAGCTGTGAACTGCTGGGATAAAGAGCTCCATAATCACATCACTGAAAATCCAGAAACAGGCTTTAGACTAGGAAGTGCAGGCTTAGAGTTAAAAGTCATACCAAGTTTGTAACTATCAAAATATTTATTGGAAATTATAAAATTTAAATAGTAGCTATACATTATATACACACAGCTACAATTTTTGAAAATAAGGTTTCGTACTTGACAGAGTTCAAGAGAAAGTTCAACTACACCAATACTAAACTTTTCTTGAAATCCAGACTTCAGTTGCTACATCACTTAATTCAAAGGCAACCACAGTACTTTACACACTGGGGTTTGGGTATGCTTCTTCCAATAAATAATTTATAAATACAAGCACTTCAGACTGGAAACAGTTTAACCCCTTTCCTCATTCTTCCTCAAACTCGGGAGCATTTTTAATGCAAATGGTTATTTCACCTCTTCTCTCTCTAAGTAACACACACAGAAGTTGTCCTTACTCAGCAGCACTATGGAGTCTCCACTGGAGTGCCAGGAGAGAGACAGGATCTGGAAGTCACCTGCAGAAACAAGTCAGTTTGTGAGCCCAAAGCTGACAGTCTGTGCTCTTACTCTAGAATGAAGCTCAAGTCAGGCAAAGATATGAGAAAATCTGCAATTCCTTTTCTGTCTAATATGCAGAAAGGCATTTACAGGATCTAGCTGATGGCCTCGTTACCCCCTGCTGCCAGTCACCACCCTTCTCATCCTGCAGGCTGACTCGGAGCTCAAGGTCCAAGGTCCAGGCACATTGTCCCACTACTGTTTTGTTGCAATGTAGTCGTTTTCAGAATACCCCAAAACATTACAAGTATTTCAGAGTCAAAACGTGTTTCATCGTCGTTTTCAGAATACCCCAAAACATTACGAGTCAAAACGTGTTTCATCACTTGGCATTCTGCACAACTACAGATAGGAATATAAATCTTGAGAAAGAATTCAACAGACTACATGATTAATGCAACAATTAAGTCACTGTTATCCTCTCTGCTCTGTGCTTGATGGATTTGATCACATTTGCCACGTCTCATCATTAACTCCTCTTTTTTTGGAAGACAGAAATAACTTTTTAAAAGGCTTCAAGAACACATCTGAGCCCTTTACAGGATTGTGCTCAGACTGAAAAACACCATGTCAGTGAGGAGGTGTCGCTGGCTTGGGGGAGCTCCTGTGGCAGCCTCACCTTCCACGGGCACCTGCACGGCCACGCAGCCTGCTGGGGACCAGAGGTAGAGCCTGCTGCTGGCCGTGCACAGCGCCACGCGCCTGCCGCGGGTCCCACTGGAAGGCCTGGATGGCACACAGCTGCTCCAGGACCACAGCCAGCTTCAGCTTCTGGATGTCCCAGATCCAGACAGCGTTAGGGATGTTATCTGTTGGAAGAGGTAGCTGTAAATACCCACAGGATAAAGAGATCACACTTAAAAAGAAATTATTCAGAGTTATGCTGCTGTTGATGGGTTTTGGACCTGACCCACAGCTTTTGCATCCAGACGTGATCTGGAGTGTCACAGGACAAGATTAATGTTAATTCCATGATGTTCACTATTGGAGGTAATCAAAAGGCCCCCTACTAAAGGTTGTGAAGAATTCTGCCTTTCAAGAGACACTTGCTGTAAGTGGAGGAGGAAGGATTTGTGTATTTCATTTGCTAATGCAGCAAGCTTACGTGCATTTGAAGAAATACAAAATTAGGCTCTTTCCACCAAATCCAACACCCAGACTGAGTTACTGCCCTGGGGAGCAGCTCTGGCAGCTCTCAGTATGCCCACTAGAAGACACAGGCTGAACTCCCTCTGTTGTTACATGTTTGCACAACAAAAAGTAGATTTAAGTAGGGCCACAAGTCTTCCCATAGTGTAAGATAATCAACTCATTACTGTCCTCGTTTCCTTCATGAAAACCCACCACATGCAATGAGGAGGTTTCCCCTTTAATTTAGAGCAGTAGGAACTTACCATTTTTGGTTGCCAGGAAACAGTTATCTGGACTGAATGCCAACATCCCAATCCCCATTTTGGGATTTGCCCGGTCAGCAACTGGTTTGACATACTGTAGAGAAACTGGCACCTGGGAAATGTCATCTGGAATTTGACATAAAAAGTACTTTACCACACAAGCCTGAATGGACACAACATTTGAATTCCAATTGTTAAAAGCCCCTCATCTCTGAAGTGACAGGACCATGTTTTACTCTCCTCCAAGATGTTCCAATCAAAAAGTTCCAATTGTTTTAAGATCCTGTATCTTCACCTGAACTGGGCACCACTCCTGCCCTTCTACAGAGAAAAAGGGTGGAAACCCAGGCAAGCCTGACACTGAACTATGAAAAAAAGCAGAGATCAAGTTCTCTACTAGTACTTCAAACAAACACCAACCAAATGCAGCACCACAAAAAGTGAGACAGTAAAAACCAAAAAAAAAAAAAAAAGGGAAAAAGATTTTCTGCTCAGCTTGTCTGCCATCGCTTTATCATTTCAAAGCCTGCTGCCTGGAGGCGAGTTTAGAGCATTGCTACATCTACAGCTTCTTGGAGAAGCCAAATGGCTTTTTCATGCTCTGCTTTTTTACAAAACCTCATACCTAAGGGGTTAATTACTATCCTAAGACAGTGAGACTGTTACACCTTCTGATTTGGATTTTTTTTAAATTATTGGAACAGCCACACACTATGATAAGGTTCCTAACTGCAATAGTTCATCTGATTCTAGCAATTATCCACAACAGTTAAAACAAAATAATGAAATAACATTGCACAGATTAAACAAATCTGAAAAAAAAAATCCACAGAGTGTTAAGACAACTTTTGCAAGTGGCTCCAGGACTAGGATCTGGCTATTTCTGCACCCAAGTAAGAACAGCTCTTTCCTTCAGCACCCTGCTGGTCTCTGGCCTGCCCTCACACCACCCTGCAGCCAGGAACCCCTCCAGCAGGGCCCTGCCTGCCCCAGGAGCCTGGAGCAGAGCATCCCCAGGATCCACACTGACACAGAGGCACAGATTCACCTAAAATGTTTATTTCTAGAAAGACCTCACATGGCAAACTCCAGTGTCTCGTTTAGTAAACTTTGGCTTACATTTACTTTGTGTGCTGAAGAAAGAACTAGCCAATGCTCTTGTTGGAGGGAAAGAAAGTCTCTCTGTTTCAACAGATGGGGATTTCTCCACTTCTTTATACACAATCTACAAAGAAACAAGTGAGAGTTCTGCAGAAGGGCCTTGGAGAATTTGAACATGGGCTATTACCAAATCATCCACATCCCACTAATCTTCAGGTGTATTATCTCTCAGCATCCCCTCGTTCCTCAGTGGGGGAAGGGGTTCAGCAAACACTAAATCCAGCATTCTCAGTGAAGCATTTGTTGTTTGAAGCCATGATCAGGAAAGCACTCCTGTGACAAATAAATGAACCTTGAAGTCTACAAAGAACAAGTCTGCCAGAGCACACCTCATTCATTACTCCTGAGAGCTAAATCTGGCAGTACAATAAATCACCTTCATTTCAATGGGAACAGAGCTTCCATTTTTGCAACAAACCCTTTAATCAGACACTATCATAAATAAATGCAAAGTGCAACACTGCAGAAGGAAATAAAGACATTTTAATGGTGTGTCTATAGCATATTCCCAAACACAAGCACCAGGATAAAATGCACCAACTGCAATTCCTGTTTGGGTAGCAGGGAGTAACAGAGCTATTCCCATTTGTTTCCCATCACATATTTTACACCTAACTGGAAGCAAGGGCATCTTTCAGGCATGGGAAGTTCTGCAGAGGTGCATTTCACAGATCATGCCTTGCTCTGGGCTAAGGGGCATCACCACAGTTGTGTGAATACTGCAGACAGTCTGCCCATGTCAGCTCTTGCAGGATCTCTGTCCAGACACAGGACAGTCTCCCCTGGCAGTGGCACACAGCACTGCTACACTGTGTGTCACCTTACCCTGACAGAAGAGAGCAGCTTGTGATTTCTGGAACAAAAGCTACAGCTCTGCCTGCTGCCAGCTGCCCAGGACCTGCTGGGCCTTGCACATACATGTATGCAAGGATAAAAACAGATGGTGACAGACATTCACAGGAGATGTTCTTCAGGTGAGCAGGATGAGCTCATACATACAAGATGTAGATCTGATCACAAGCCAGTACCAACACTGTTTAAAGATCACGTTGTATGAAGTTGAGACAAACCCCTCCTGTTCTTCCCAGTTTGCCATCACCTGCACACCCAAATCTGTAAGGCTATCACCCATATATATCAAAATCAGTTGGCACATGACACAAGTCAGATGAGAATCCATCAGCACTGAAGCTGAAAGGATCACACGTGTTTATTCCATCAGACTTGAAAGGATTCCTCTATTTTTACCTATGCCCCCAAATTTTCCTGCAATTTCCCAAGCCCTACTTACACCTTTGGAGGGGAAAAAGTAAGGTCTCCAGACTGAAATGTATTCACAGCATCTTTCAGAGACAAACAGCCGTGTCAGAGCACTGCTCACCATCTGCTGAGTTGTGGGTCCATACTCACAGTCTTGGAGCTCACAACGGTTGCTGGATGCTCAAACTCTGTGATCTTCTTCCAGGTGACGTGGTTCAAGATACGCACCTGAGGCAGGAGAGCATTGCAAGGCAAGACTGCTGTGGCAGAGCTCCACTAATGGCTTAGGTGAAAGAAGAGAAACCTGCTTCTCACCTTCTCATCATAGCTGCCAATTGCCAAAAACTGACTGCTGGGACTCCAGGCGACCGATTTTATTCCTAAGGACCACTCGTAAGCCTGGTAGGTGGATAACAGTCTGCCATCAAGGGAGTACAGCAGTATTTTATACTGAAACAGGAGGAGATGGATTCTAAAGACTAACAATATTGTTAAAGTTTTCTTCCAAGATAAATGAGAAAGAAAGTTAATAAGATAATTTGCTGTCATTAGTGATTTAGATGACAGTTTGACACATGCTAGTAAGGACATCCTTTGCCAATACAAGCAAAAAAATGTAAAATTATTTGAGTTCAGCTTTTGTTATTTTAGTTACTGCTTTACATATGGTGGCTACAAACCCACTTGAACTCTGAGGAAATACTCTGCTCTTCCTCATACCTCCAGACACGTATCCCACGCTGCCAGAACACAGCCATTAGGGGCCCACTCGATGCCAAACAGATCTTGTGTTTCAGTGTCAAAATGCTGCCACCAAAAGAGAAAAAAACCAAGCCCATTTGAACTGCTATGACAGCACATACTCTTGCATCTGACCTAACATCATCCTTGCCTTTACCCTTTCCAGTGCTACCACAAATGCAGAGGAGCCTTTGTGTGCTAGTGTAGACACAGAAACATTTTCTTCTGCAACATGCTGCAGTCACTGTTCCTTTGGTTTCCCTTTTCAGAAAAGGCAAAAAGCTGCTGTACCTTAAACTTAACAGCATTTCATGAGAAAACAAATCAGGTACACTGAATCAGTCAAGGAATCTCACTAGCCTAATGCCTTACCTCTGGAAGGCTGACAGAGGATCATCAGGGAAGAGACTGGGAACATGACATGCAGTTAGTGCCATTTCCCAAATTTTCAATTCCCAGAACAGAAGTGACACTAGTACAGACTAGTTCTTAACAGGTTTCAATTTCTCAGGCCCATCTGGCCCTCTAAGACATACTCATGTGCATCCTTCACAGCCTGGTCTCATTGTTAAACAGGAAATACAGTTTATACCATACATGCCAATCAATTGCTTTATCAAGCAGCTGTTAATTATTGGAGTAGTGTACTGTAAATAAGCTCATGCAAGAATTTAAAAGTGAATCTCTCCATTCCATCAGGAACTCTTTATGCACAGGTAGCACACACTGGCCTCTTGAACAGAGCCCTGCTGCAGAGATCTGCCTGCAGGCCAAGGGAGCAGCCAGAGACTGGACAGAAAGAGCCTGGGCCAGTCTGAGGCCAGGTGAGTGAAGTGAGTGACCCACAGCAGCACAGGGGGCAGGCAGGAGCCCGGGCAGGGGCAGGGGAGGGCACGGACACCCCTTACCCTCAGGAGCTGCCAGTCGCTGCAGACGAAGATGCTGATGAAGTCCTTGCAGTCCCTTCTCTCTGCCACAGCCACGTAGCGCCCGTCCCTGGTGAACACCACCCCTGCCACGAGAGAGGCAGCGCAAGGACCGGGACACCGGAACAACAGGACAGGGCAGCTGGAGAGTCACCAGGGGAGAGCAACCACTCCCAACACAAAGAATGAAGTCAAAAGGAACAAGAAACTCCACAGAAGATGACCTTCCCCAAGGCAATGCACGGTATTCCCTGGGCCAGCAGCCCTCAGGCTCTGGCTGCACTCCCTGATGCAGCCCCACAGCTCCTGCACAACTGCACCCACGCCTGGCTCTGACAGATGCTACAGGACACCCCCCACTCCCAATAAACAGTTCATTTAGCTGGGCTAAATGGATTCCTTACACAACCACTGGTCCTGCACCAACTTCCACTGGTCCCCATCCACTCCTCCCTCATCCACATCCCATAATGGTCTTTGTCAGACATGGGACATTACCAGAGACACACCTTGGGCAGGACTCTGCTCATCACCACTCCGTGGGCAGACAGTCCTGACAGGAGCTTCCCCTGGAAACCTTTTCATGAGGAAAGGATGGCAGAAGCCCCTTTGGACAGCGTGGGGTCTGGAAGGACCCCTCAGGGGCCCACACCACAGGTCTGTGTTGGGGAGCAGGCACACAGGTCAGGTGTCACCCTCTGTTCAGAGCAGGGGTGCTGGAGCAGCACCAGGCACTGGTCCCCAAAACCTGCACCCTGGGGGCGAGCCAGCCCCTCAGCAGGGAGCCTGAGCCCAAACATGTGTCCTGCCATGGTACCCCAGCCCCCTGCTCCCTCCTGCTGGGCTAAACCCCCTCCTGGGCTCTCACTCACCCTGCTGACAGGCCTTGGGGTACTTGATGTAGGACACAGACTTGGTACACAGGGACCACACCGTTATCCGCAGCTGCCAGGGAAAGAGACAAGGGAGGTTTGTTTATTGCTGGAGATTAAAAAACCCCAAACAATTAAGTAAATAGAAACCCATAAACCTAATTCTGCAACACAAAGTAGATGAATACACCTCCTGCAGTTAAACTCTGCAGCTATTCTGTGTAGCTCAAACAAAGCCCTGAGAAGTACCTGCAAGGAATCCTCTCCCAGCTCCCCTCAGTTCCCAGGGTTCCTTACTCCAAATCAATACTACAGGCATACCAAATACTGAGCTGTGGAACACCAACACAGAAAAAGCTCTTCATTGTCACCAAAGTTACCCACGTTAGCATGAATCCAGCTACACGACTGCCAAGGTATGGCACAGACCCTGGGCAGTTACAAAAAACCAGTTTCATCACCAAATCTGGAAGAGAGGTGAGAAGTTTGTTGCATTGATGAAGGGATGAAGCTTTACAGCAGCTTAAGAACATTTTATCTCTTGAGAAAAGGCTACAAAGTATGAAAACTTAGCTGTATTTTTCAGCTTTAGACACACTCAGCTTTAACAGCTGATTTGCATTGTGCTCTTCCTCAGCCACCCAGGAGAAATACCATTACCCAACTCCTGCAAGAACCAAAACATGGTATGCAAAGCAAGGCATCAAACATCACCTGTGGGGAACTTGTGGAGGCTTCTACACCCAAGACAGACCGAAACTGCAGAGGAGGCAGTCAGCTGCAAAACAAGCCTCTCCACAGCCCTCAAGGTCACAGCCTGCCTCCTGGAAGCTCTGCCTTGCCATCTGCAGATTATTCAATTAAAAACAAATACTTGCTCTCCCTTAGCAACAGCAGCCACACCAGACATGTGTGCAGCAAGCAGGATGTCATGTGGACCTCTGCATTTCTGTCTGGAGCAAGGAATGTTTCCAGTGCCTTTTTTTTCCCCCCCCTTGTGTTTTCCTACATTTTATTGCATCAAGGTAAGAGATTCTAGAAGAGAGACAGGTAAAACTACCTTTGCAATAAAGCACCATGTCATAGAGGTGTCTTTCCCAGAACTACTGAACAGCAAAAGCAGTTCTGATTCATTATGTAAGTCAAACTCCATCCCTGCCAGCCCTCTCACCATCCCCTGCAGACCAGCACCATCACCAGCAGTCCTGGGAGGAAGATTCTGCCACACTTTTTTTGGCATGTTTGTCCTCAGTGCACGTTTTCCTCCCCTGAAGTCACTGGTACTATTCAGTGGTGACAGAGGGCTCCAGGGGAGCACCCTGTGCATCTGTTCTGCCAGGTAATGCTACAGACTGCTTAGAAAGCACAACCCAAGTAGCTGACAGTGTGCAAAACAAGCTCTGGGGTCCTAATGCTGCACCCCTCCACATAGAGTCCCACAGCAGAAGTGCAGCATGAGCTGCTCTCCCTGCTCCTTCTTACAGGCAGAAGAAACTTGGGAGATTTGAAAGGACAATGTAGAAACCATTTTTTTTTTTAATATTACAGGAAAGAGCACAACCAGACCAGATTCCAGTCTGCTCCTGCCCAAAGTTAGAAAAGGTGTTGGGCCACTGTTTAAAGCAGTGTTTATTAGTCCCTCTATTTCCCAGGTATGAGATTACAACTAGACATTGATAGTGTCACCTCCAAGTTTGGCAGGTCCTAGAGGAATCCACAGGGTGGACATTAATCAGGTTTTATCACTGCAAGTGCTCACTGCCAGGCACACAGACAGAGCTGACAGCCTGCTCTTCACCCAAGATTTACTTTAAAAATACCAACACGATGCCTCCTCACATTCCCCTGCAGCAGCTGCCAGTGACACTCTGCTCCTGCTCACTGCAGTGCTGCTGCACTCCCTGCTGCTCCTGCCCCCACCCAAACACGTGGGCTCCACAGCCTGCATTCCACAGCCACTTAAAACCAGCTTAGCAGCTGCAGGCTGGCAATGCTGAGCTCTGGAGCATCCTTTTCCTGGACAAAGCTTCCAAGTTTACACTTGTGCTGGTACCTGGCCTGCTGCCTGTCAGACAGCCTGTCCTGGACCCCTTCAGCTGGCTCAGAACAAGCCAAGACCACAACACTCACCTCAAGCTCAAGGGCCTCGGCAGAGGGAAATCTCCAGAGCTGAGAAACAGCACAAACCCCCCCAAAAATCCACCTTCTGAAGCAAAAGGCCTGTTTTTGTACCAAATGCCTACAAGCCTTCGACACCCAAAGCACTTCACCTTCAGTTGTGATCCAAATCACTCACCACACCCCCATGACAACTAATAACCCCCCTCTGCTCAGCCTCAGCACCTCTCCCTGGAGGCTGCAGGCTGGCAGGAGCAGCACCCACTGGAGCCTGAGCCCAGGGACATGCACTGCTGGAGCTTCACTGCCCACGTCACACAACATCCTGAAGGATCCAGCCCAGGGCTAGAAACATGTAAAAACAAATCATTTTGTTTCCCCAGGTCAGGATTCTTTCCAACTGCTCTATTTGTGTACACTCAAATATTTCTATAAGCTGGGAAAGTTACATTGTGTGCTTAATGTATGGACTTTACACCTCTGTAACATGGGTTAACAATGTGATTACAATTAAGCTGTGATGAAGAGGGATAACCTCCATATTCCCAATGAGATCTGAAATGCTGTCCCACAATCTTGCCCCAGCTGCCAACATAAACTAGCCTGAGAAAGATTATTCCACAGCAGAGATTATCATGAGAGACAGAAACATAAGACAGACAGAGGGTGGAAGAAGAAAGCCAGACACTTCCAAAATGCCACTAAATTAATGACATTGCTTTTATCTGCTTTCCTCAGAGACTTTGGGGACCATTGCTATTGCAGCAGGAGCACAGCTCGTGGCCAGTTAACCCTGCAAGCACCTCTCCACCCATCACTTGGGGGACAAGAAGCACAGATGAGTCCAAGTGGAGTTGTCAAACTCAAATCCTAACGATAATGGTGTCTGAGAAGTTTTCAGCTGTTGTTTTGCAGTGGAAAAGCCGACCAAAAGCAGAAGCATTTTTTAAAATAGCCTAAAAACAGCTGAGAAATAAGGAGTGTTTAGATGGTAAGGTGACAAACGGCCCTGCTGGGGGAGCTGACAGCCAGGGGCAGCTGTGGGGCTGCTGGTGGCCCACAGATAAACACACTCAAACAACCCTGCCTCTCAAATGACTGTCAACTTTTGTCCCAGACTTGACTGGGTCACAGGGCCTCCTGCCATGGCAGTGTCTGTCAGCACGGGATCTCAGCAGATTATTCAGAGCACATTCCTGGGCAGGAAGCATTTTCAGCCAGTGCAGCCACTTGCAGTTACCAGGGATTAGCTCCAGCACACACACACACACAGACTTTGCTTCCCCTGCTGCTGTCGTTCCACAGAAGCTGCTTAATGCCTCAGTACCCAACGTGGAACAGAGAAAATACAATCTGTGTAGTTTGTAAGTGTGGCTCTTGAAAGAGACCCCTCGAGGACAATGCTGCTGATCTTCAGGCTGCCACAGATGAGGCACCAGGAAGCAGAGGAGCCCTTTGCTCTCTGCACATCTGTCACCCACGGCTCCTAAGCTCCACGTCTGCCTGTGAGTCCAGGTGGAGGGAAGGTGCTGTAGGAGATGTGGTACCACACCCTGCACAGGCCAGGCTGCTCCCGTGGAGCCCTGCAGCAATGCACTCACCCTGCCACGCCGTGGGCACACAGGGCTGCCTCAGCCAGGGCAGAAAGCACCCCCCAAAACCAGCAACAAACCACAGCCACGGGGCCAGCTGCCTCCCAGGCACAGAATGGGTCAACAGAACTACCATGGCTCCAGTTTTTACACTTCCCAAACACACCTTGCACAGCAGGCTTCCAGGAGGTGCTTTTCCAACTAGTTTAGATTTGCTCTTGACTACTTAAATGAATAAAGTGCTTCCATTCTCCCCCCTCAAGCCTGCTCTCCTAACAACTGTACTCCAGCCTGGTATAAACAAGGTGATGAAAAATCAAGCTGCAACTATTCTGACCACTTCTCACATGCACCCCTGTGATATAATCAGACAATTAAAGACAAAAAGCCTCTCAAGTTTGGAACTGCTTTTGAAGATACCTGGCTGTCTGGTGAAACTTTTTTTCATGGCAAAACCTATGGAGTCTGTACCACACCCTGCAGCTTGGCAGCTCCTCCACTCCAGCACAGCAGGAGTTTAAGGAGCAAGCCTACATCTCTTCTGCATCTCAGCAGGACTGCCTGGCATCCTAGATGCTGACAAAATTACCCCCACACACACAACCCCTAAGCTAACACACAGCACAAAGACACTGCCACAGTTCTGGGGCAGTCACTAGGTGCTGCACACACTTCTGTAATTAAGCACAGTAAATTACTCTGCATCTGCCTGTAATCCATTATTGTGAAGAACAATCCACTCTCAAGTTAGCCCAGGCATAATTTTCCTGAGGCACTAGTAAATAGGGATTGCAGGAAATGAATTGGCACAGGCATAGCCTTAAAAAAAATCTCCAGGAAGAAGAGTTATCTGTGAGCTTCCAGTGGAGCTGCCAGACTGACCTGAAGAATTACAAGTAATTAGCTGCAAATGTCAGGGCACCCAAGCCAGGCTGGACAGGGACCCCCCAGCCCTCCAAGCAGTCACAGAATTTGATAACACACATAATGAACCAGTATTAAGTATCCTGAGAGTTTCTGTCTGGAGCACCACTCACGCCTGCCCCTCCAGCCCATGGATTTAGCAAGGAGAGGAAACACAGCTCAGACACTGGCATGGCCCAGGCAGCTGCCTGACAACAGCTAATTTAGCAACCTGTTTACAGTGGGAAGGAAAACCTACCCCAACACAGATGCCAAGCTGGCAAAGGCTTAATGAAATCCTCTAAGGTCAAACCAAGTTCTGTTGGGAGGCAATAAATACTCGGTCCACCCCCACACACGTGCCACGGGAGACTCACTTCCAGCACAGAGCAGCAGCCTGCAGCTTGGGGAACAGGCCAGGAGGCTGCTGCCTGGAGAGCCAGCACGCCTCTTCTCACCTCAGGGGCAAGCTCTGGACTCATGGTCTAACTTTTTACCATCATCAGGGTGGTTCAGGCCTAGATTCATCACCCCCTGTAACCCAGTAAAGGGGCAGGGGAATGGAAGGGAACTGCTTTACAGCAAACCCTCACCCCAGTCAGCACTGAGCACCCCTGCTGCAGAGCTCCCCACGAGCAGCCAGAGCCACGCTGCAGCTCTGGGCAGGTTTCCCCACGGGTTCCCTGGAAAGCACCAGCACCTGCAGTGACTGCAGTGCACACACAGAGTCCCCTGTCCACACCCCACTGACATGGGGGTTTGCACAAAGAGAGGAAAAATCTTGCAGTGTGACTTTTCAGTTGAGTGCTAGTGAGAGTTACAATAACCTCCCATCTAAAATCCATCTGCAGTCCTGAAGGCATAAATACAGCAGAGAAAAGTGTCTCATGGGTGGTTCTCAGCTATTTCCAACCCTTCACCCTTGGGCTGAGCAACAAGGATTGTCAGCTCTAATGCAGTGACACAGAGGTGGCCAGTCAGATTGCCACATGCCTCCCAGCAAGCCCAGAATCCACAAACTGGTTCAGATTCTACCTCTGGAGATGCCAGAATATGGCTCTTAATCAATAAGCACTTACAGGCGTTTCCATTTTAATTTTACAGGTGGTTCCACCAAGAGCAGCCTGACTCCTATGTGCAAAATCAATTACAAAAGTATTCCAGGAGCTGGCAGTAAATCTCATCTCACAGGCCAATAAACCAAAGACCACGTTTTTCCATTCCACAGCTACTCTTCACTGCTTATGGTTTGGGTTTTCCAGAGACACTGACCTACCAACACCACATTTGATTTCTGAAAGTGCTTTGAAGAATGCTCATTATCCCTGTGCTTTCCTCAGACATGTAACTTCAGCTCTGGAGTCAAGTGTCTATTTTCTATCTTACCCTCAGAAGGAAGAGGATAAAATGTTAACAGCAGAACCCCCAAACTGGAAACAACACAGATTATGTTTATGAATGTAGAACTGTATCCACGTTCCTTGCCACCACTACAGCTTTAAGGGTTTTAGGTTATTTTAAGAGGCCAAGGTCAGACAGCAGCACCCGACACCGCCCAGAGCCGCCGCGACCTCCCACTCACATGGAACTCGGTGGTGTTGAGAACGTGCCGGCCGTCCGGGCTCCAGCGTGAGGCCACCAGCCCCG